TCATAGCTGTGAACTCACACATTAGGAAAACAAAATGGGAACAAATAAATACCCTAATGCTGCACACCTTCAACAACTAAAAAAGGTAGAGGAAACCAAACCCAGACCCAAAGATGGGAAGAAATCATAACGATTAGAGCAGAAATTAATTCAATTGAGATGAAAAAAAAAAAAAAAAGTTCAAAGAATTAAAAAAGCAAAAAGCTGGTTCTTTGAAAGATTAAATAAAATCAATAAGCCACTAGCTAACCTCATCAAAAAGAGGAAAGAAAAAATTCGAATACAAGCAATAAGGAATGAAAAGGGTGTAATTACCACAGACCCCATGGAAATTCAGAAAATTATCAATAGTTACTTTGAGAATCTTTACTCTCACAGAATAGAAGACACAGAAGAAATGGAAAGATTTCTAGAAAGGCAGAAATTACCAAAGCTGAATTGACAAGATATAACCACTCTCAATAGCCCAATAACAACTAATGAAATACGAGATGTAATAAAAAAAATCTACCAACAAAGAAAAGTCCAGGTCCGGATGGATTCACAGCTGAATTCTACAAGACATTTACAGATGATGTAGTCCCTATATTCCTCAAACTCTTTCAATGAAACTGAAAAGGAAGCAATCATCCCCAAATCATTCCTGAGTCAAGTATTATACTGATACCAAAACCAGGGAAAGGCGCAACTAATAAAGAGAACTACAGGCCTATCTCCCTCATGAACATAGATGTAAAAACCCTCAATAAAATCCTAGCAAATAGAATACAGCAAATCATCAAGAAGATCATACACCATGACCAGGTTGGATTCATCCCAGGGATGCAAAGATGGTTCAATATTTGAAAATCTATCAATGTAATACACCATATCAATAGAGTGAAAAATTTGAAACCACATGATCATCTCAATTGATGCAGAAAAGGCTTTTGACAAAGTCCAACACTGATTCAAGTTCAAAGTCCTACAGAATATTGGAAAATATGGCCTCTACTTCAATCTGATAAAAGTCATTTATGAAAACCCAATGGCTGATATAATTCTGAATGGGGAAAAACTGAAATATTTTACTCTTAGATTTGGTACAAGACAAGGATGTCCTTATCACCATTCCTACTCAATATAATTCGGGAATCATTAGCCACAGCCATTAGAAAAGAGAAAGAAATAAAAGGAATAAACATAGGTAAAGAAGAAGTTAAATTATCATTATTTGCAGATGACATGATACTTTACTTGGAAGACCCAAAAACCTCCACCAAGAAGCAATTAGAATTAATACAGAAATTCAGTAGCATAGCAGGATACAAAGTCAATACCCAAAAGTCAATAGCATTTCTCTACACAGATGACAAAAACACACTGAAAGGAAAATTATAGAAACAATACCTTTTACAATAACAACACAGAAAATGAAATACCTTGGACTTCATCTAACTAAAGAAGTAAAGATGTTTTCAAGGAAAATTATAGTACTCTTCAAAAAGAGATCATAGAGGATTACATAAAATGGAAAGATAATCCATGCTCCTGGATAGGAAGAACCAACATTGTGAAGATGGCCATACTCCCAAAACTGCTGTACAGATTTAATCCAATCCCCATCAAACTTCCACCAACATACCTCACAGAGCTAGAGAAATCATTCCTAAAATTTGTTTGGAACCAGAAAAGACCTAGAATAAAAAGAAAATCCTGGGCACTAAAGACAAGGCAGGAGATTACAATTCCTGACTTGAAATTATACTACAAGGCTACTGTGATAAAAATCAGCATGGTACTGACAACAAAATAGAGCTGAGCATCAATGGAACAGTTTAGAAGACACTGAAGCCCCTACGAAGACACTCTGTCTCCTTTTCTTTGACAAAGGGGCCAAACACACTCACTAGAAGAAAGATACCCTCTGTAACAAAGGGTGCTGGAAAAACTGGCTCTCTATATGCCAAAAACTGAAACTTGAACCAGGTCTATCACCATGCACTAAGATAAAGACAAAATGGATTAAAGATCTAAACATTAAAACTGAAACACTGAATCTCCTGGAAGAGAAAGTAGGAGGAACTCTTGAAGACATAGGGGTAGGCAAAGAGTTTCATGAACAAAAATCAAATCACACAGAAAACACTTGAAAGAATTAACAACTGGGACCAACTCTTCTTGAGAAGTTTTTTCACATCAAAAGAAATTACCAACTAAGTAAAAAGACAACCCACAAATTTGGAAAAAGTCATGACAAATAAGTACTTAGACAAAGTTCTGCTCTCTACAATCTATAAAGAGCTAAAAAACACTAGGGCCCCAAAATTGAAAGACCCAGTCCAGAAACTGGCATCTGAGATGAACACACACTTCTCAGAGGATGAAATTAAAGGGGCAAACAGATATATGAAAAAATGCTCCACATCACTAGCCTTCCGTGAAATGCAGATTAAAACAACATTGAGATATTGTCTCACCCAGAAAGAATGGCTATCATAAAGAAATCACCCAACAACAAATGTTTGAGATGCTGTCGGGAAAAAGGAACCCTTCTCCACTGCTGTTGGGAATGTAGACTGGTGCAACCATTATGGAAATCAGTGTGGAGAGAGACTCTAGAAAAGTTGGACTGGAAATCCCATTTAAACCAGCTATTCCTCTACTGTGAATTTTCCCGGAGGATCTGAAAGCATCATATCATCGTGATATATGTGTGCCTATGTTTAAAGCAGCAACATTTGTAATAGCCAAATCTTGGAAACAACCAAGATGCCCATCACCTGGGGAATGGATGAAAAAGATGTGGTATTTTTATACAATGGAATATGACTCAGCTATAAAGAATGATAAACTAGAATCCTTTACATTTAAGTGGATGCCACTTGAAGATATACTCATAAGTAAAATAAACCAGACACACATGTATAAGTATCACATAGTTTCCTTAGTATAAGATCTCAAAAGAAGAAATACAAATAGAAAGGTATAATACAACTAAAAGGAAAGCAAGAACTTGAGTACTAGACAATGAAAAAAGAGCAAGGAGAAGAGCTAGGAAAAATGACAGATGCAAGCCATACAGTTATATGTAGCAGATGGGTAAGGCAATGATCCTGAGAATCTTCAGAAGATTTTTGAATCAAGCAGTTAACTGGAATGATTCTCACCCTGACTAACTATATATACAGACACTTGTGAACTAAGCAACTGCACTGAAGGTGGCAATCTGTAATAGTAGGTTCATGCTTGTAGTGCCTGTCATTCTGGTGTTCTGAATATAGGCTGCTTCTCATGACATGCCAGTTGGTGCCATGCTGTCTCTCAGATAATGACTGTTCAAAAAGAAGGGGGTGGTGAATGAAGGGAGGAGACAGGAAAAGGAATGTTGTGGGACTGTCCTGCTTCACAGTTGTATATG